ATGCAAAGTGGCTGGGCAGTGGAGCCTAGTGGCTAGAGGTCAGCAGGGCACCAGCACGATCGTGTGTCACTGCTTGCTTTTCTTTCCAAGAACAGAAAACCTAACCAATTCTTGTCATGTTCAATCTCTAGTTCTTGGCTGGTGAATCAAGGATCCCTGGCAGATATTGGAGAAAAAGTCCTAAGCCTTTTCAGTCAGGAGAGAAAAAACAGGAAAAACAGACTGTTAAGTAGGGGATAAGTTTGGTCCTCTGGTGGAAAAGCTAGACTTTGTGTGTATTTGTCATTAAATACCAGGGAATCCACAGACCATAAAGCTACAAGAAAAGCTTTGAGTGTGAACTCAAGTTATGAGAGTCACTACCCTAGAGCTGCTGGCCACACTATTGCTGATAACAGGCAACAATGCTGTTGGCCTTCTCGGTTATCCCTGCAGCCAAACCCACAGGATAAAAGCTCTATAAAAATTTTGAAATTGTCTTAGTTATACTAAGAATATAAATTTTCACTCTTCTCCTGTACTGTACCTCCAGCATTTTGGCCAGGAAGCATGCTTTGGCACCTTGGGCCCTAGTGACCCTCTCCTCACCACAGAGCAGAGATCATAAGAGCAGATATATTGTTGAAAGTTAAGGACTAATGGAGAAGATATGAGAATGCAGAGTTATGGCTTTGAAATATTTTATCCATGCATTTCTCCAGGTGACTTAACCATCTCTTTTCCCTCCCTCCTCTGGCCACTTCCTTCCCTGCAGCAAATGCTGCAGGTGTCTGGGAGACTCTGTTTATCTGCAGCCATTGCTCTTATTCCCCCACACTGACTATGCTCCTAGCCCATATTAATACCCTTCCCAGTTCAACACCTTCCTCCTCTTCCCTGATACCTAATGAAAGTTTTAAGGCTTTGAGGTGCATAGTTCCAAGCAAACAAGAGGAAGTGATCTGCCCCAACCCAACCCTGTCCTCCTTCCACCAAGCCAAAGGACTGGGCTGCCAGCTAGCCCAGTACAGACAGGGCAATCTGAGCAAGACACTTAACCAAACTTCATTCATTGTACAGTTGAATAAAAGCCTATCAATTACAAATTGAAATCTTCCAGATCACTGGTCCAGAGAAGGACCACCAAGTGATGCAGATCTGATGTCTTTTCTCCAGAATGAAGATTCTGATTTGCATGGGGGACAGGTGTAAAAGAGGTTCCCAGGAAAATACTTGTCCCACTGCAGGTGCAGCCATAAGAAACTTCTAAAACTTCTGTGGTTTCATTCTCAGCCAGAGCTGCGTCACCAATATTTAATTCAGAATGCTGAAATCACTTTTTCCAATGATCCCAATGAAGAGGAAGTTAGGCACATTCCGGGCACTGCCGTCCTCTGTTTCCCATAGGCTTCTTCCAACTATGGGTAATCAGGCCATGTCAGAACAAAGATGAGTAAACCCAGACTCTTCCAAGTAGCTTTTTCTTAGAAAATCAAGGCAAAGAAGTCAGTTCAATGTTACCCACAGTCCTGTGAGCAGAGTCCCAGCAAAAAAGAAAGCAGGATGGTTGGAACTAGATGGACTCTTATCCTGGCTCAGAGTCCTGGCATCGATGGCTTGGCTGGACAGGTTAGAATCGAGGAGCTCCATAATCATCTGGCATCCTCTCAATATTGTATCTGAGAAAGAAGGAAAACCTATGAAGACGACCAACTCCACACTGCTCCCCTCCCCACTGTAGTGGCACATCTACCCCCTTCCTCCTCAGGGACGCTCGACAATCTTAGGGATTCCTGCTAGGCCTTGGCCTTTGTGAAATGAGTTGGGGAGTGAAGCATCCCTTGACCATACCAGGAACTCTTGCACGGCTAAGGTTGGAGTGTCGCTGACTGCATCAGGAACTCCTGTTAACCTGGCTAAGGTGAAGGATGAGAGCACAACTAACCAGTCATCTCGTGACAACCCTATCTGAATCATAGCCCAAGCGGAATGGTATCGATACTGGAGCTTTGGAAACTCTAGTAATTACCAATTTGGATTGTGTCCAAGATGTAAAATTTATGGATGACTAAAACCAATCATCTTGCAACCCTATAAATAATGGTCTTAAGTGAGGCCCTTTGAGCACTCCTGGACAGCAGTAGTCTGTGCCAGCACCTCCCTCCGAGTGGGACACCTCTCAGAGCTCCTGAGCTCCCAAGCTGGAGCTTTGGAAACTCTAGTAATTACCAATTTGGATTGTGTCCAAGATGTAAAATTTATGGATGACTAAAACCAATCATCTTGCAACCCTATAAATAATGGTCTTAAGTGAGGCCCTTTGAGCACTCCTGGACAGCAGTAGTCTGTGCCAGCACCTCCCTCCGAGTGGGACACCTCTCAGAGCTCCTGAGCTCCCAAGTTTACTTAAAGG